CACTTGGAAGGACGATGTCCAGGCCAGGGGGGGCCAGGGGCTCGGGCTCCGGCAGGAGCGGGGAGGCGACTTCGCCAGGGGCCAGCAGCGGCTTTTCAGGGCCTGCAAAGCCGGAGCTCAGCTGGGGGAACAGGAAGGAGCTATGAAATGGGGGGTCCTTGGGACTCCTGCCCCCCATCCTCTGCCGGGGGCCCTGGGCTGGGTGAATGTCTCCATTTCCCCATCCAGGCACCCCACAAAGCCCCAGCTTATTTGCATATGCAGATGAGAGAGACCTCCCCCACCCACCCACTCACCTGCAGGCTCTGGAGCAGGTAGGCCAGGGGGCCAGGGGCTCCTGGCTGCCCCAGCAAGGGGGGCTGGGCCTGAAGCAGCTGCAGCCCCAGGGCCCCCCCCAGAGCAGGGGACAGGAGCGACGGCTGGCTTGGGAGCAGGGGGCCGGGACCCCATGCTGGCAGGTCACCTGGGGACAGAGCAGAGGTCAGCAGGGGCCACAGCCTGGGGCACCCCCAGGCATCACCTGGGGACCACAGCCCAGACCTAGCCCCCAACCCCCCACTCACCCAGCAGTGTGGCGCTCAGCAGGGGGCTGACGAGTGGGGGGGGCTCGGCGCGGGGGCCCTCAGTAGTTGCGGCCGTGGCGCCAGTCGAGGTAGGTGCCGCAGGGGGGCCGGCCAGGCCGGGCTGGGGGGAAATATTAAGGATCCAGCAAGCACCAGGGACCCCTACCCAACCAGTGCGGACCAGTCCCCCCTGCAAGACCCAAAATTGGGGGATACCCCCCCATGTGGAGCCCACCCAGGCCCGCCCCTCGCTCATACCCTACACAGAGCTTGTCCTAGAAGCAAGATAGACACCACCCCCCATCCCCCAACTGCCCCCTGGAGCCCCCCAGGAACCCAGCAGCACCTCACCTGGGGGGGACCAGGGCCAGCGTCAGGGGCCCCCAGGCCGGCAGCCAGCAGGGCTGAGTTGAGCGCCAGGAGAGCAGGGGCAGGGGGCAGCAGCAGGGGCTGGAGGGGGGCATCAGGCAGCTCCGGGGCACGGGCAGGGGGATCGCCGGGGGGGTCAGGCAGGGGCAGCAGGGCTGACAGCAGGCCCCCGGGTGGGGACAGCAGGTCCAGGCCCAGGGGCAGGAGAGGCCCCAGTGGCTGTCCCTGGAGCAGCGCCGCCAGCAGGAGGGGCGGGAGCCCTCCCAGCACCTCCGGCTCCCCCGGCAGCCCCAGCAGGGGCAGGGGGGGCTCAGGCGGCCCCCCCCGCGCCCCCAGCAGGGGCACAGCCAGAGGCAAGAAGGCGCAAGGTGGCAACGCCGGCCCCAGTGGCAGTCCTGACTCCGGGCCCAGGAAGGTCAAGGGCTCAGGGCCCAGGGAGAGCGCGGGACTTGGGCCCCCCTCCTCGCCCCCGCCCAGCTCCATGCAGGCTCGGGGCGCCACAGGACACGTGCCAGCACCTGCACGGAGAACAGGTGGTTGGCAATGGGCTGGTGGCCTATGATCCCCCCATCCCCGAACAGCCCACGCCCAGCTTAGTTAAGGACCCTGGACCCCTCCCCATAGCCGGACCCCACTAGGACCCTTGAGACATCCCACCTCCAATGCCCCAATATCCAGCCAAATCCCCCTCCCACCCGGCTCTGCCAGTGAACATGGATAACCCTCCCCACAGCCAAACCCCAGCTCCCCACTGGGGACTAGGATCCCTCAAGACCCTCACCTCTGACACGCCCAGCCCAGCCAATCCCCCCCACCCCCCCCAACTCATCCAGGAGCCCTGGACCCTCCTAACACCCCCAGGCCAAGCACAGCCCCCAGCCCCCCTACCCAGCTGCAGAGCCCCCCACACACACCTAATCCAGCTGGTGACAGAAGCCCCAGACCCCTGCCACTCTGCTCCACGTACCTGTGGCCCCAGGGGGGGCGGGCGGCTTTGGCTGCGGGGAGCTCCCTGATGCCGGCTGCAGGCTGTCGGCAGGGGCCGGGCCAGGCGGGGGTGAGGGCAGGGGAGGTCCCAGCAGGCTCAGCAAAGCTGAGAGGGGCTGGGCGGGGGCGGGAGGGGGTGCCCGGGGGGGCTGTG